AGGAGGGGGTGGGGGGAGCAGACTCGGGGGAGGATCGACGGGCACGAGGCTCGAGGTTCTCAGGCGTTTGTCGTCGGGCCTCGGCGGTTTCTGTCCCGCCGCGGGGCGCTCCTCAGCAGCTGCGCCTCGCCGAGTGCGCTCTGGGGGTGCCTGGGTCTTCCCGTCTGGTCGCGGGAGATTCGAGTGGCGGCCTGAGGTCCAGTCGAGGGGGAAGTCGGAAGGATCAGGAAGAGAAGGAGGAGCAGGAGGAGGAGGGGGAGGAGGAGGAGGAGGAGGAGGAGGAGGAGGAGGAGGAGGGCCGAGGAGGAGGAGGGTGAGGAGGAGGAGGAGGAGGTGGAGGGCCGAGGAGGAGGAGGAGGAGCAGGGGAGGAGTAGGAGGAGGCCTCCCTGGCGTTCTTCGCATTTTTTTGCGTGGGCCTCTCCCGGAGAGCCTCCTCGTCGCCCTGCGCAGCCCGTACGTACCCTGCCCACCCAGAAGTTCTTGACTTCGTGCCGGGTTCCCTCCTCCCCGACGTCGTGATTCATGTCGCAGCGCCGAACCCCATGGAGGTCTGGGCCCTTTCCCCAGGACTTGGCATCGCTGGGACGTGTGCATTTTTTCCCCAGGACTTGGCATCGAAGAGCATCCTGGACCATCGAGCAAAAAGCAAACACCCACGAAACCGAAACATGCTCGGGAAATGGACGTCCGAGCGACGGCAAGAGGACCGCTTTCTCACCGACGAGACGCCGTCAAAGAACGACTCAGGGCCCTGCGTCGCTTCTCGACGGCCCCGAGGCCTGGCAGCTCCCTCCCCCGCGAGGCCCCACTGGAGCGGAAAGTCCTCCGCGTCGCGATCTTTGGCCCTCCACAGCGCGAGTGGGGGGGGGGGGTCTGGGCGGGGCGCTCTGCAGCAATGGGGTCGCCCTCTCGCTGCCCCTCGCCCCGCCTCCGGCGACCCGCCCCCCGGGCTCGCCCGCCCGCAGAGTTAGTTAAGTCGGGCCTGTCCTCCCACAGAGGGATTTCGGACGAAAGATAAACAACATATCCCAACAGTGTACCACAATAGTACAAGCATGCTGGAAACATCGTCCCCAGACTATCTTTAAACTATTTTTGAATATTCAACCTGTAGAGGTACGGGCCCAAAGTACACCAAAAGTACACCAAAATAGTACAACTATGCCAGAAGCATCGTCCCCAGACTATTTTTTTAATTCTATGTTTGAAATTTTGCATCCTGTGGAGGGACAGGCCCGACGTAGCCGCAGAGGTGCCCCTCGCGGCCTCCGAGCCCGCCACCGCCGCGCTCCTGGAGGCCATCGGTGCCGCGGGGCGCGACCTCCGCGCGGCGGCGGCGGCCTCGCGCGAGCGCCGCGCCTCTGGGCAGGGCCAGGAGCCTCGGCCTTCTATAGAGAGCTCGCCGCTCGATTCCTACGCTCCAGAGGAACTTTTTTTGATTCGCGGGTCGAGAGCGCACCTCTTCCGGTCGAAGCTCCGCGGGCCGCGCACAGCTTGAATTAACAAAGAGGGGGGGGCAGAGGGAGGGGCCTCACGTCAAGGCCAGGAGGGGGCAAAGCCCCGGAATCAGGCGGTGCCGAAGACGATGTGCCTCATAATTACTCCAGAGGAACACTCAAGGGCAACGAAACGGGGGGATAGGCATGGGGGCGGGATGCATCGGCCCCCAATCGCCCATGGATCGCCGATCGGGGCCCGACAGCCCCACCCCGCCCAGGCGGAAGGCGCGGATTCACCATCGGGGTCCTATCGCCGATCTGTCGACGATGGATCGCCGATTCCAGGTCGATGCATCCCCCCCTATGCCCATCCCCCCCTATCGTTGCCCCTCAAAAATATGGCCCAGCGGTTCTGGGCCGTTCTCGGTCTCCGAGGGCCCTCGCCGGGCCCCGGGACCGTCAAGAAAACAACTCGGGACGAGAAACTAGGGTCGGGTATTGCCAGGACCCCGGGTAAGGGGACCCGGTTAGTAGTAGGGCCCGGAGCCCCTAAACTGGCCAGAATCACTAAACCAGCTCTGCCGTAGCTGGTGTTTTTTTCGGGTGACGGCAGATCTGGTTAGTGGAACGGGGCTGGGGGGGTCGTCCCCAGAACACATCATTAAACCAGGTCCCACTAAACCCAGTTCTGCCAACGCCCGATAGGTAGGTGGTCCAGACCTACAGTGGAGGCCCATGCCAAGAAGCACCCTGCTTGCCTCCAGGGTCCCCTGGGCTTCTCGGGCTCCGAGGGTCTCTGCAGACTTCAAGCGCGTGCCGCTCCCACACCAAAAAAAATCCTCTGGACGTCCTCGGGTCTCGGGGTTGGGCTCCTCGTGGAAGGCTTCTTGTGGTCGGGCCCCTGCTGTACGAAGCACCAGTCGTGGGGAACCCAGACTGACTTTTTCAGTACGTCGGCTCCCAGAGGTCCCGACCCTTTCCCCATGACCGGCTTTGCATCCTGAGTCGTTTTTTGACGCTCCCGAGGCCCGGTGGGTACGCCCGTAGGCCGAAAATTGAGAAAAACCTTCTTCATGATGTTTTCATTCCTCGAGGGGGCCTCGGGCATGGGCCTCTGTGGGCTGGCTCGGCTGGGCGTGGTGGGCGGCAGGGGGCGACGCTCCCGAGGCCGGGTGAGGGCCCCCGGAGGCCGAAAATTCAGAAAAACCTCCCGCCGTGATTTTTTCCTTGCTCGAGGGGGTCTGGGACGTGGTGGAGACCTCCGGGGCCCACGCATCGAAGCAGATTCGGCCCACCCTTGGCCATCCTCCCCTTCCCTCCCAAGACATGATCGCGTCGTGACAGAAATCAGCGTCGTAACAGAAATCAGGACGGCTGTTTTTTCGCCATTTTCGGCCCCTGGGGGCCCTTACCGGGCTTCGGGACCGTCGAAACACGACTCAGGATGAAGAACTGGCCCCGTGGAAAGGGTCTGGACTTCCAGGGACGCCGTCCTGAAGAAATCAGGACGTCCCATGTCTGGGTCGGCCACGCGCGGAAGGGGGTGCTCCTTAGGAGGCGCGGGCCTTGTCTACAGATGTGGGGCCGGTGCCTTCTGAGAAGCAGCCTCCCTCTAAGAGGCCCTCCCCCCTCCCTGCACCCCTTGTAGTGCGCGCCGCCAATGCATTGCGAGCAGGCGTGGTCCCAGATGTCGGGCGTTGCCAGAAGTGCCCCTGGCCCAAGGTGCCCCCCCAGGATCTCCAAGGAGCCCCCCCCGCGGCCTCGCGAGCACCCCATCACGAGGCCCGCAGGGTCCCCAGGGGCTCCACGATCCTTTAACAACCCCCGCCTTCTCGATCGATCCGATCCGACCTCGATTCTGGCCTGTTCGATCCGAGTCGATGCCGATTTCCCAGCGGCCCGATGCGGTCAGATGCCTGCATGGCGCCGCGGTGCGTCCTGATGCAGCCGATCCGATCCAGTTTCGACTCCGTGCCCGGGCACTTCCAGCAACCCCCGATGATGAAGCAGTGGCGAAGCGTCCTGGCGTGCCTTTAGGCCCACCAAGCCATGCTCTAAGGACCTTCTTTGTGGCTTCCGCGACATGTTCTCAGAACAGTTCTGGCTTGGACCGCTTCGTTTTCACACATCCAGTTCCTGCTCTAAGAACATTGCTTTTGTGATTGGGGCAGTTTGGTGTTCGACGAACATGCCGTGGTAGGCCCATAGGAGTGCCGGCACGGTCGGCCCCCGCTCAAGAAGATTTAGGAGGGGGAAAGAACACACAGACACAATTCATCGTCGCATCCTTAGAAAATCTGGGAACATATGGGACTTGGGCGGGAAGACAAAAGCCCAGAACATATGGGAACATATGGGGCATACTTTTATTTGTATGTATGTATTCAATCGCTTCGCTCATTCCGCCGGCCCTGGAGCGCTATTTGGGGCCTCTTGGGGCCGTCTTGGGGGCTTCCTGGGGGCTTCTTGGGAGCGTCTTGGGGCCCCTTGGCGGCGTATTGGGCTCCCCGGGGGCCTCTTGGGGGGCTCTTGGGGGCCCCTTGGGGCGGGAGGGGGGGGGTAGTCGTTGGCAGCCCCCCTCCCTCGTGAGGGGTTCTTTGCGTGTCCCGGGGCCCCATTGGGAAGAGGGCCCTCCGCCCCGAAGGCGTTACCCTCCGCGGAGCGAGCGGCGCGGGGCGCCGCCCGCCGTGGCCGCGTGCCGGGGAGCGGCCGCGGGGCGGCGGCCGGCGGGCCCCCCTCCGCCGCTCCTCGGCCGCCCGGCGGCGCCGCCCGGGGCACCGCGAGGGAGGGCCCCTCGAGGAAACGACAGGGCCCCTCGAGGAACCGACAGGGCCCCTCGAGGAAACGGCAGGGCCCCTCGAGGAAGGGCCCATGGGAACGACTGCAGGGCCCCTCGAGGGAGGGCAAAAGACCTCGGGGCGGAAGGCTCTTCTCTGAGTCTTCGGCCTCCGGGGGGGCCCTCGCCGGGCCTCGGGAGCGTCCAAGGTCGACTCTGGAGGCATGGGCGAAAGGACTAGCATTTCCCTGAAACAGCAGAAACAAACCTTACTAAGTTGGGGTCGGGGAGAAAAAACGACTCTGGAGGCAGAGCCGGTCATGGTGAAAGGGTCGGGGCCTCTGGGGGTCGACGTGGCGAAAGCATCATATTGCGCCGGGGGTCTGGAAACGGCAGGGCCGTTTTTTCTACCGGCTTCGTTTTGCCTTGTGTGCCAGCTCCGACGCCGTTGTTTACCAGTTCCGTCGCCGTGTTTCTACTGGTTCCCGCTCTGGTTCCAATCCTGGCGCCGTTTTTTTTTGCCGTTTCCGGAAAGCCCTGCCGTTTCCAAGATTGGGCATCCCGCGTGGGCCTTGTGGTTGTCTGCGCGCCTGTGCCTGCTGCTTCCCGTCGGGGAGACGTGAGACTCGAGTGCGCTGGACCTCGGGTTTGCCGACGCTTTTGGACGAGGGCGTCATGGATTTCGACGGTCCAGTTCCCGCGGGATGTGTGTAGCGGGAGCTCGCGTCAAACTTCAGACTTGGTCTCGTCATTTTCATGACGGCCCCGTCAGACTAACCCGAGTCCCCCAAGGCTGCCGTCTTCGTTCGGGCTCCTCTCTCGCTTCGGGAGGGCTGTCCCGCGGCGGGGTTGCGGCTGTGCGAGCGCCGTGCCACTCCCGGCTTTTCTCTTGGGGGTGGTCCCTTCGACGCACGCTAGACCGGGCCTCCTCGGCCCCGCCAAAACAAACCGAGCCCCCCCGAACCCGAGTCTGCGTCTCCCCGATCCCGGGGCCGCTGCACGCGCGAAGCAAAGACGCCTCATCGGACATCGCGGCGGACAGCTTCTCGCTACTGCGAAAGCCTTCGGCCCGCGCCGCCGACCCTGAATCGGGCGAAGAGAACTATGCACATGCACCGATCCTGACAACGCCCATCCTTGACCCAGGATCGGTGCATATACCTTCTGGGCCAAGGTACGAGGGCGTATGCACCAATTCTGGGCTCAGGGTTGGGCCTGGCCAGAATCGGTGTATGTGCATAGTTCTCTTTCCTCTACCTGAAGGGCGACGACGGCGAAGGCGGCGGCGGCTGCGACGACGACGCTGGCGTTGGTAACAGCCCTCAGGGAAGCCCTTTTGGGGTCCCTTCGGAGCGCTCTCGGGGGCCTCTCGGGGGTATTCGGGGGCCTCTTGGGAGCCACTCGGGGGTTTTTCGGCAGCTGTTCATTTCTTTTGGCTTCCAGGGGCCGTCACTGGTCTTCTGGGCCGTCAAACAAAAAACTGGTCGATATGAGCGACCGGCTTAGGGGAAGGGGTCCAGACATTTGGGTTGTCCGGGCCGAACGAAAGGGGGGAGAGCGAAAGGGGGCGTTGCGAAATCTGCTGCGTGCAGCTGGTTTCGGCCCCGCCTCCGGGCCCATTCCTCGATACATGGGCGCCTCCCAGCGCCGGGAGGCGCTGTGAAAATCAACCGCGTGAGTTGATTCTCGACCCCTCTTTTTGCTATCCCCCCCGTCTGTTCCCCCCGATCCACGTAGCCGCTGCCGTCGTCCTCTGAGACGGGGTCCTGCGGGGATCTCTCGACTTCCTCCTCCTCTTCCTCCTCCTCCTGCTCCTCGTCCTCTTCCTCCTCCTCTTCCTCCTCTTCCTCCCCCTCCTCCTCTTCCTCCCCCTCCTCCTCCTCCTTGCTCCTCCCCTCCTCCTCCTTCCTCCTCCTCCTCCTCCTCTCGTCTTCCTCCTCCTCCTCCCTCCCTCCTCCTCCTCTCCTCCTCCCTCCTCCTCCTCCTCCTCATCTCCTCATCCCCTCCACCATTGTCCCATTTTTCTGTGTCCTCATCCTCCTTTTCCTCGTGCCCAGTCTCCAGTCCTCCGCCTTCGCCTCGTCCTCCTCCTCCTTCTCCTCCTCCTCCTCCTCCCCCTCCTCCTTCTCCTCCTCCTCCACCTCCTCCTCCTCCTCCTCC